GCACGGTACCATGCTGAAAACGTAATTGCTCACCTACTCACACGTCTATTAAAACAGACCATTCACAGCGTTGACACAAAAATGCATGGCACACACTACTATTGCGGTTAGGTGCAACACACATTTGAAAATAATATGCCTGCAGTATTTTAAAATGTTTCCCACAACATTAGGCAGCCCATTGAATTCAATGCGGACTGAGGAAAAAAACAAAAACACAAAATGCCCATTCACACAGGTCCCATGGCCTCTGTAACAGCATGAATGAGTGGGTTGTTCATGTGGCTGGAGCCACCTGTTACACTATGGGGGGGGACACAGCAAGCTTGTATTGAACACGAGGTTTTAATCTGACAAAGTGTGAAGGCCGTGGGAGGAAGTGGCCCTGAAAATGCTCACTGTCTGTGTTCAGGGCTGTACACCTGCACCCATATGCTTGTCAAATTATTATCTGCAGCATTCCCATAGTGTTAACATAGGTTGCCTGCAAACGGCGAACAGTCACAACAAAACAAACCTACTGATTCCCCACTCTACAGGCCTACAGGCACCCAGTGTATTGAGCTCCCAACGAGCTCAATTAACACAACGTTTTGATTTATTAAACTCAGTACAGTTTTAATCAATTGTGAGTTGAACTGGAATTTGTTTGTGATTGTCTCCATTAACAAAATAGTTGAGTTGTATTTTTTACCATAATTAATATATTTGGTTATTTTCTATGGCGGTGGGGCCCTAGTCAGGTATGCTGTTACGGGGCCCCGTGATTATCTAAACAGTGGCCCCTGGGTGTTTGCTGTGTGTCCTGTGCCCACCTGTATAAGTTAGGTATGAAACAATAAAGTTTCTTCTATGGGAGGTTTCTTGAACCTCTGCTAAGTATACCTCAATGCTTTCTAGGGATCCGGTCCACATTTTCTAATGAAATTATAACAAAATTGGTTGTATTGTTTTCCCCTGAAGCAAGCGTGTACTGAACCATTCATATTATAAAGCACCCGATTTGTGCATTTGCCCTCAATTTATGCATAGGCCACTACTCTGTGTATGTGCCCAGATAGGACCCTCCCAGTGGGTATTCTTATGGATCAAGGTTCACTTTTCTGTAATGCCTGATTTATATTGAGGCTGCAATAGTCAAATACGCTGCAATGGGCAGAATATATTGGACACTGTGGAACCGCATCGAGCTCAAAGGATCCAAACAGTGAAAATGAATTCCTTAATATCAAGCCACCATGATGTTACAGTATGGGCTGGCCCACACCCAAATGAATGCATTGTTCTGGTAGGTCCCTCCTATGACATACTTATACCTACATGTGGATGGAAATTGCACTGACTTTTCATTAGATTGTATATTATCTGGCCATCTGAAGTCTCGGGAATACAATCAAGAGGAATATGACTCTGTTTTTAAGGTAACAAAAAGTAGTCTTTAATTTACTTAAAACTGAAAAATAAGCCTACATGGCTAAAAACATATACTGGGAAAATATGCGGGACTGGCTGATATCCGGGCGACAGTCTCGTTCACGGACGAGTCAGCAATTCTGCACCCTAAAACCAACATAGAGGAAAGGGATGGCCAGAAATTTCTGTGCTGCTTCCAAACCACCTCTGGCATGCTTTATGCAGGTCCTCGATGCCAGTTCTTGCCTGGGCCACAAAATATCCACTGGCCACAAATGGAAGGTGAGTGGAGGACGTGAAGTGGATTTCTACCAGCTTCAACCGCAAACAGTACCACTCCTGAAAAATGAGAGCAAATAATCATTGACACGTCATCATGACAGTCAATTCTCAGTGCAGGCTATCTAGAGTGTCTTTCCTTTTTAACCATTTCAAGAGTTCAAGGAAACATTTACTTGGAGCATCTACTGTGTTTGGAAAGGCCCAAGAGTCCCCCCCTCCCCCAGGCACACTAATGCTTACTTGAAGTGGAGCCCCATCCTGATTTCATGATGTGCTTGAAAAGCTTGCCTCTCTGGTCTATGTGGCTCATGAAGGAGTGTTCTTGGGATCACACCAAAACAAGGTGCTTGTTCTGGGGACAATGGACAGGAGAGAGGGCCAAGGAATGCTGGCATGGGAGCAGCTAAATGAATGATCTTGGCTGCTCTGTGGCAAGTGGCTGTTCAGAGCAGGTAAAGCAGTCCTTAGATGGGTCGAAAATTGGCTGATCATAAAAAAAAAAAAAAAAAAAGAAAAATTGGTCATTCGATCGGCCGACGTTACCCACCAATCGTTATAAAAATTTTCTGATTTTCAACCCGTCTATGGCCGGCATTAGTCTTACATGTTTATTATTGTAGTTTGGAACAATTGTTAAGATCACTTTTCCAAACCCACCTGTGACGTCAGACAGCGAATCCCAACAGGCTTCCCAGGGTCGCCATCTGCCTTCCCTTCCAGCAGTTAATCAGCTGAAAGAAAAATAAACACATTTAGATCCATAGCAGAGGTTTATTCCTTCAGAAATCTACAGGTGGCACAGACAATAGGCCCAACTGGCCGGCTGTTCCTACTTCCTCTTCACTCTCTTGCCCAAAGCCACAGCATTTCTTCATGTAATGTTTGATTGGCCAGGACAACTTGTCATGTTGACTACACACTGGCTAAAATGGCAACCAATGCTTGGCACCCACCCTCTACCCAATATCCTGCTACAGGGCATCATGGGTGCTCGCACCTTGGCCGTGTTGCCATTTTTCCTCGGCTGTCAATCCCTGGGTCCTTGCTGCCAATGACTCGGCTGGGCCCGCTGATTCCTGAGCATCTCTGATGGGGAGGATAACTGCATGTAAAACCAGACCGTTCTCCTCCCTGTCAGCTTGTGCACACTGCTTTGGATGGATATGCCCAGCACAGCCATCCTAAGCAGTGTCCTTACAGTGAAGCACACAGACAAAGCACAGAGTAAAACAGCACACAGGTAACCCTTGCCTCGCCCCACATGTTAACCCCTTCCTGCCCAGTGCCATTAGTACAGTGCCAGTGCTTTTTGATCAGCAGTGATCACTGTATTGGTGTCACTGGGGATGTCAGGGACACCAAGTTAATTCCCCCCAGTGGCAAGAATGTCTGCCGCAGTCCCACTATAAATTACTGCTCCCCACCATTACTAATACAAATAACCCCATTAAAAACAGGATATAGTCTGCCATTTGTAGACACTCAAACATTCACAGAAACAAAACAATTTACATGTATTGTGATTTTAGGAAGCAAAGACATGGAGCAGAATACATTTTGCACTACAGAAATGGACATGTTTAATCACAAAAAGGGAGAAATATTGCTTGGGTCACAAAAGTGACAAAAAGTGACTGACTCCGGGCAGAGGCACATCGGGCTGGACTCCGGGCAGAGGCACATCGGCTGGACTCCGGGCAGAGGCACATCGGGCTGGACTCCGGGCAGAGGCACATCGGGCTGGACTCCGGGCAGAGGCACATCGGGCTGGACTCCGGGCAGAGGCACATCGGGCTGGACTCCGGGCAGAGGCACATCGGGCTGGACTCCGGGCAGAGGCACATCGGGATGGACTCCAGGCAGAGGCACATCGGGCTGGACTCTGGGCAGAGGCACTTCGGGCTGGACACATGATCACCAGACGGGGCAGTAGGCACCGGGCCACCAGGCAGAGCAGCAAGCACCGGGCCACCAGGCAGAGCAGCAGGCACCAGGCCACCAGGCGGAGCAGTAGGCACCGGGCCACCAGGCGGAGCAGCAGGCACCGGGCCACCAGGCGGGGCAGCAGGCACAGGGCCACTGGGCGGGGCAGCAGGCACCGGGCCACCAGGCGGGGCAGCAGGCTCTGGGCCACCAGGCGGGGCAGCGGGCACCGGGCCACCAGGTGGGGCAGAGGGCACCGGGCCCCTAGGCCGAGCGGCAGGCGCCAGGCCCCCAGGCGGAGCGACGGGCGCCGGGCACCCAGGCGGAGCGGCGGGTGCCGGGCACCCAGGCGGAGCGGCGGGCGCCGGGCCCTCAGGCGGGGCGGCGGGTGCCGGGCCCCCAGGCGGAGCGACCGGCACCGGACCCCCAGGCGAGGCGGCGGGCCCCCAGGCGGAGCAGCAGGCACCGGGCCACCAGGCGGAGCAGCAGGCACCGGGCCACCAGGCGGAGCAGTAGGCACCGGGCCACCAGGCAGAGCAGCAGGCCCCGGACCACCGGGCGGAGCAGCAGGCACCGGGCCACCGGGCGGGGCAGCAGGCACCGGGCCACCAGGCGGGGCAGCAGGCTCTGGGCCACCAGGCGGGGGCAGCGGGCACCGGGCCACCAGGTGGGGCAGCGGGCACCGGGCCACCAGGTGGGGCAGCGGGCGCCGGGCCCCCAGGCGGAGCGGCGGGCCGTGCACCCAGGCGGAGAGGCGGGCGCCGGACCCCCAGGCGGGGCGGCGGGCGCCGGGCCCCCAGGCGGGGCGGCGGGCGCCGGGCCCCCAGGCGGAGCGACCGGCACCGGACCCCCAGGCGGGGCGGCGGGCCCCCAGGCGGAGCGGCGGGCGGCGGGACCCCAGGAGGAGCGGCGGGCACAGGGCCCCCAGCCGGGAGCGGCAGGCACTGGACCCCCAGGCGGAGCGGCGGGCACCGGGTCATCAGGCACGACAGCGGGCATCGGGTCACCAGGCATCAGGTCATTTGGCTCGCCAGCGGGCACCGCGTCATCTGGCAAGGCAGTGGGCACCGAGTCACCAGGCACGACAGTGGGCTCCGAGTCAACTGGCATGACCGCGGGCACTGGGTCAGACATTGGATCGTCTGGCTCGACAGCGGGCATCGGGTCACAAGGCATTAGGTCATTTGGCTCGACAGCGGGCACCGCGTCATCTGGCAAGGCAGTGGGCTCTGAGTCAATTGGCACGACAGCGGGCACCGGGTCATCAGGTACCGGATCGTCTGGCTCGACAGCAAGCACCGGGTCATCTGGCGCTGGATCGTCTGGCTCGACAGCGGGCATCGGGTCACCAGGCATGACAGCGGGCACTGGGTCATCAGGCATTGGATCGTCTGGCTCGACAGCGGGCATCGGGTCACCAGGCATGACAGCGGGCACCGGGTCATCAGGTACCGGATCGTCTGGATCGACAGCGGGCATCGGATCACCAGGCATGACAGCGGGCACTGGGTCATCAGGCATTGGATCGTCTGGCTCGACAGCGGGCATCGGGTCACCAGGTATGACAGCGGGCACCGGGTCATCAGGTACCGGATCGTCTGGCTTGATAGCGGGCATCGGGTCACCAGGCATGACAGCGGGCACTGGGTCATCAGGCATTGGATCGTCTGGCTTGACAGCAGGCATCGGGTCACCAGGCATGACAGCGGGCACCGGGTCATCAGGTACCGGATCGTCTGGATCGACAGCGGGCACCGGGTCATCTGGCGTTGGATCGTCTGGCTCGACAGAGGGCATCGGGTCACCAGGCATGACAGCGGGCACTGGGTCATCAGGCATTGGATCGTCTGGCTCGACAGCGGGCATCGGGTCACCAGGTATGACAGCGGGCACTGGGTCATCAGGCGTGATAGGATCATCAGGCTGGATCAGTTCATCAGGCTGGGTACAGACATCAGGCTGGGTACAGACATCAGGCTGGGTAGAGACATCAGGCTGAAGTGCGGGTGCCGAGGCACCAGGCTGAACCACGGAAGGCAGGTTCTCAGACGGCAGGCTCACCGGTTTGGATACTGGCAGGATGGTATTGGTTGGAAAGAATTTTTGCTTTTTTCTGGTTTTAACTACTGGGGCACTGCAAGTAAACGCAGGTCTGCAAACAAATGGAGTAGCTGAGGACAGAGAAGAGCTGGAAGATGGAACAGAGGAGGGAGCAGCCGCCACAGAGGACCTCTCCACAGGGCCAAAGAAAGGATAGGTGCAGCGAGTGGGAGCAGGGGACTGGTATGTGGTAGTTAGCAGAGTATACTGGGCCGTCACTGGGGGTGCTGTCGGGGATGCAGGAAGAGTGCCTTGAGCAGAGGAATGATGTTGCAAGCTGACTGAGGCTGGGTGCAACAAGTCTGACCATGTCTGCAGTATGGGTTGAACAAAGCTGAGCTTACACAAAGCCTGTCTGATCAAAGACTGCACTGCGTTTATACAATCTCTTAGTACCTGTGGTGAACATGCAGCATAATGCTCCAAGAAGCAATCCACATCATCCTCTAATAACCATACCAGGGGCTCTACCTGGTCTGCACTAAATGGTGGCAAAAAGTCATTCCTGCTTTCAGGGGTACCAGATGAAGCCAACTCTACACAAACCTGAATCAAAGGTTGCACCTCAGAGAACTCTGTGCCCTGATCTACTAGAACATGAGCGATCCGTATACATTCTAGCAGTTCATCCCGGGGATACTCCTTCAGAGTCTGATAAGCATATTCTCTGTCATCAAAAACCAGCAGCAACAAATACACAACCTCATCAAGATCCATCCTTCCCAGCAACAAGCCAAGATGGCTTCCCTGTGCAGCCACTTCTGGTCAGGATTGGCCTTGGTGTAATGTCAGGGCTCCGGGTATGACCAGAAGTATGTGAACTGACGCAGGGAAACGCAGGCTTCAGATATGTTATAAACAATATAATTTATTAATACTAACAATACAAAAATGCAATACTAAAACATAAACACAGTGCAAACGAACCAAACCAAACCACCCACAGATAACAATACATACAATGCAAGCGTAGTCAGGCAGGCCGGGTCAATAACAATCGGGCAGGTAGGAACAGGAGGAGCAGGCAGAGAGTAGTCAGGTCACGAGCCGGGTACAGCAACTAATGGGCAGGTAGGTACAGGGGGTCAGGCAGAGAATGGTCGGGGTCACAAGCCAGGGATCAAGCAGGAGACGTCAGCAGAGGTCAGGATCAGGCAGGGTTGGCAACGAGTCAGTCAGGCAGGAACAGAAACAGGAACAGGAATCCAGGTAACAAGCTACAGGGCCCATGGAAAAACACACACCAAGGCCCAGACTGCAGGTCTGGCCATCCCTTAAATACACCTGCAATCAGCCTCAGGTGTTTGGCTGACTGCAGGGTTGAGTCTCTGATTGCTGAGAGCACCCGCTGGCCAGCCCTAGTACTGCAGCCCACAAGGCAGGTGAGTCCCACCATTATTGGCAAGTCCATTCCTGACATGTAGCCTGTTACTAAGATTAATATTTTCCCACCTCAGATATACTAGCCAATTCAATGGATTGAAAAGATATAACTTAATTTAAGATAACGATTGGTCAAGACCAAAACAAGGACCCAATTGATTGCAACTGCAACAAATTTAATCTCTACCTATGGTAGAATATGTACATGTGAAGTAGCGGGTGATCAGGTCAGCTCTCGTGGCCATCCCATCGTCAGCTGACGGACTTCCGGCTCCCTCTCCTCAGTCGTCTCCCAGGAATCATTCCTCGCGTGGCAGATGTTGTGTAGGAGGCAACAGGCGAGGATGATCCTGGAAGACTTCTGAGGAGAGTATAATAACTCACCCCCAGGCCTGGCCAAACATAAAAATCGAGATTTGAGCAGACCTATGGTCTGATCCACGATGGCTCTGGTTTGGCTGTGAGCCTTGTTATATTTTTTTTGGGCCAGGCTCTGGGGGTACCTGACTGGAGCCATCAGCCACGTCAGCTGTGGATAGCCGGCATCCCCTGTGAAAAAAAGAACAAATGTGGTCAAGTCATTGCATTAGTATGGTTATATATTATATAGACGTTCAAACCGTACATTATTTCTAAGGTTGGTTTCTACCTAGGCACAATTGATAGCCTGTCTCCATTGTACAGTGACCACGTTTTGTACAATGTGAATGTCAAAGCACTTTAGAGCATGAAGTCAGTGTTGGAATACATGGACCTTACTTATGTCTTTCCCACATTATCTGCTGATCGGTGCATATATGCATCCTCTTGTTTATGGTTTAGGGCCTAGAGTCCACATCTATATAGCTTAAGGTGAATCTTTGGCTGGGCTGAGAGGGTGTTCCCAGCACAGTTCTCAGTGGGGCCAGAGAAAGAGCTATATGTATGTGTGCAAAGGTTAGCTTTATGATCATGTGATTGCTGTGATTGGCAAGCATAGTGGCCTCCTAACTGCAGGGTCTGGGCCTATGTCATCTATGGTAACATGCATGCAATATTATAGTTCAAGTGTAGCCACAAACACACACAATAACTTACCAAGAAGCCAGCCGTCTGGCATTTGGCCACTGTCGAATTTTCTGAATACACCCGACTGCTGGAGGATGAAAGCATCATGGCACGACCCTGGAAAGCCTGTGTTGACACTCATAATCCGCTGTCTGGCGTCACAAACCAGTTGTATGTTGAGTGAGTGGTACTGCTTGCTGTTGCAATAGTTTTCTTTCTTCTCTCCTGGGTGCTTGTATTGCAACATGGGTGCAATCTATCGCACCCAGGACTTGTGGCATTTGTGCCCGATGGTAGAAATCCACCTTCACGGCATTCCGCTCAACTTCATTTTGTGGCCAGTGAATAAATTGTGGCACCAGGTCAAGAATGGCATTTATGACCTGCATAAAAACCCTGGACATGGTTGGTTGACTTAATCCAACCACAAGTCCAGTGGTGGTTTGGAAGCTTCCCCGACCCAAAATGTAGATGGTCGCCAGCAATTTGACCATCCCGGGTACAGCATGACTGCGCCTTGTGGTAGGCACAATCTTTTCCTCTATGAGGTGATAGAAGTGCAGAATTGCTTCTCGTCCTAAACGGAACTGACGCCAGATATCAGAGTCCCGCATATTTTCAAGATATGCTCTTGTTAAAAAGAGCCTTGGTTGGCGCAAGCGCACCAAAGCATGTGGAGGAGTTTCCTGATGTTCAGCAGCATCACAAAAAAGCTGCAGGAAAACAGTTTGCTGCAAACATTTATGCACTCGTCATATGCTTCGTCCAACTCGACCACACTCTCTTCCCAACTCACACCCGCCATCTCTAACCCACAAAGACTGGACTACTTTTGCGAATATTTATACGCATACGTAATGGCGCACAAATATGCATCATTGGCGCACAACTATAAATGAGAGCACGTGGAAAGTCAGCGTTCTCATGCAGTAGATGTGGTCTGAGAGCATTTCTAAGGTAAGCTTACAATGTTGTTAAAGAGTACAATTTTACTGATATTTGTTACTAGAAACACCTAAAAATATGCTATACAATTATTATTATGTGTAAACAAATGTATCCTTCTCTACTTAATTTACACATTTTTTAGATTGTATCTGTGCTTTTCATTTAGCTAATTTTCAGCTGTTTGTAGCACCTGTAATGTGCCAGTGCCCAAAACATTTACTTATCTTCTAATGTGTGGTTTGTCTGGCCAAACATAGTATTTTTTGAAAGACTTTTGCTCTTGTATGTCCTTTTTCTCTGCAGAATTTGGACGGTAACAGGGGCAAGTTTAGATTTGGTAAGTGTGGTCCCCACTAGGGCATGTGCTGTGTTTGTAAGGAGGAGGTGTGATTTTGGCCCTTCCTGTCTTTTTTTTCTCTCTTTGCAGTTTGCTCACGCATTTCCCCCCCACCCCCAGCAGGGGCAAGTTTAGATTTGGTAAGTGTGGTCCCCACTAGGGCATGTGCTGTGTTTGGAGGGCAGAGGTGTGATTTGGACCCTTCTGTCTTTTTTTCTCTTTGCAGTTCTCTGACGTATCCTCCCCCTCCACCCCCCCGGCCAGTGGCAAAAAAATATATTTTTTTTATTTGGTAAGTGTGGCCCTTCCTCCAGGGCATGTGCTGTCTTTTGAGGCCAGACAAATAACCCTTGCCCTTATGTCACTTTTTGTGTTTTAGATTTCTTCTGGTTGGAAAGGTTCCTGCTGCTGCTGCTGCAAACAGCACCCAGCCAGACCCCCTGCCCACTTGTCCTCCTATGGTGGGCTGAAAAGGCCGTGGACCGAGGGGGGGGCTGTGGTGTCCGCCGGGGCACTGGGCCTTCCCCTGGGCCATTTGGCAGGGGGGCACAGGAGGGTGTTAGGGCCAGGGGGGGCATGGAGGGCCGGGGGTCTGGCTCTGGTGTGAGGGGGCACCAAGCTGGTGGCAGAAGGAGCCAGGCTTCCCTCTGAGAAGAGGTGGAAGCTGCGGCTGCTGCCTCCCCTTCTAGTCCTGGTGAAGGGACATCAAGGGGGAGAGCAGCCTCAGGCCCCTACCGAGGCAAAGTTTCCACCCTTCTCCCGCGCTAAGACCTGGGCCCTAGTTTCTGCCTTTATGGAAAGGCCCAAAGAAATTTTATGGTCCAGCTCCTCCCGCAGTGGTCAGGTGGCCAAGGACCGTCTGTGGGAGGAAATCGGGGTAGTCGTGAATGCAGTGGGCAGGGTGGCACGCCGGACCCTCCCAAACATCAAGAAGCGTATGCGTGATCTGAGATGGAATTTAAAGTCTATGGTGGGCTGAGTGTGGGCTAAGCAGGGGCATGTTACTATCGAAGGTGTGGATTCTGACCATCTTCAGCGCCTGTATCAGGAAGAACAAGCACTTCTGCCAGTCATCAGCATGTCCACGATTTTGGGGGGTGACGGCTCGTGCAGACACTGATGACTTGCAGTGTGGTAAGTACACTACACATGTCCATATTGTCTTTAAAGTTGTGTTATCTTTTTGAAAAGCAAAGTGTGTGAAATAGTGTAGCTTGACATTTGTTGTTCATTTTGTCTTGT